TATAGTGGTATTTTTTCCTATTTCAAACACGATATTTACTTCGCATATGAAAACAAAAAACTGTTTTTATTCTCATCAATTATAAGCAGATCTATAAGGTGTTGTTTAAATGCTCTTTTATTACATACTTTAACAAAATCAAGTTCGACTATTTTTATCCTAAAACATCTTACATTTTGTTTGAGTCTATTAATAAGTATAATTGATCGGAAAATGTTGTTGTTTTTATAGTCGTTACCAACTAATTTTATCCTACTAGGTAGTATTATTTTAATAATGTATGTTAGGTATTTATTTATAGATAGCTTGTTTATGTAAACCGGATGTTGGTTATAATGATCGACTCAATTGAGGAAGGTAAATTCTTCTTACCTTATATGTACATGCATAGGTGATTTATGTTTGCTGTATGATTTGTAAAATTATTGTGTAGATTACACTAATAATTTTACATCTAGGTAAAGTTTGTTTTATGACTTAGATATCACAAATTACTTAAAGCCTTAATAATATTGTGAGTTTGAAGTGTGTGTGTTTGAAGGTTTTTTTTTTTAAATGAGTGATAATGGAATGATACTTGCGCTATCGGTTTTCGCTAGCGTAGTATAAGTGAGTTGTTAGTCCATCGCAATTGTAAGGATTAACCACGATTGTTGGCAGTTGGAATCGCGTGGAGATCATACTGACATATACCATACAACCTTTAAGCAATGGGGCTATTAGATCCCATTACTAATAATCCATTTGTAATAACAGTTATGGCTGTAAAATTACGGCGCGGTTACTTTACCATTTTCTTACACATTAGATGAGCCGTCAGATTGTTTGCATTGCATTCTGTTTAAAAAAAATCATTATCCTTAATAATAGTGTGAATGAGACTATTTATTATAGTACTATTTATATAGTTATTTTGGTCTTAAAAATATTTTTTTTTGACATATTATTTGTTTTTATTGCTGAATGAGACACATTCAATTTTGATAGTTTTATAGTGAGACTGATACAAATTAATATCATTTTATATCAAAAACAAAAAAAAATCATTTATAGACACATGTATGTAATTATGGATCTTTTTTATTTTTTTGACACAAAATTATATGGTGTGATATAAGATGTCTATTCTATAATACAACTAAGTGTATATAAATGAATAATTTAATATATTTATTACTAGTTATATCTTGTGTCTTTACCCATTGAATCAGTATCCTATGTGTACTATACTTACCATTATACCAAATTTTGTTAGAATTCGTTCAGTAGTTTTTGCGTGAAAGAGTAACAAATTTCCATTCATTCATCCATCATTGCAAAATTTTGCATTTATTATTTATATACTTAAAGGATAATAGCTAATATAGTTTGAAAGTGAGTTAAGCAGAAATCATTATATTTTCATCTACGAATTAGATTATAATGGACTATGTCAATCTCAGTATAATTTTTATGACAATTTGGAAATATCAAATATTGCTTATTTCAATTCAATCACAAATAAACACATTATAACCTGCATTAACGTAAATTTTCTCAAGAATACTTGGCACTTACGGTTCCAAAGAACTTTCCAGTACTTGATTTAGAATATTAACGATCCCCAATCGTTTATTAAGCCAACAAACAAGCGAGTGATGTACCTCATTCGGTCGTATTTCCACTTGATAAATGTGCACTGTCGATCGACCGACGATGCTCATTTGTATCAATAAAGTTTAGTAGAAAAAAGCTTTTAGCGTTGGAAGTCAGAAAGATGAATATATATGTATGTATGTGCTGGACGGAATTGAAATCTTTAGCATCGTTTTAAGCTACTGATAAACTGACAATTTGGAAAAAGTAAAAAGTATATAAAAATATATTTTGAATTTCACACACTCAATTTGTCGATTTAACAATAGAACACGTAATGCGAGGTTCGACATTTTCTCATGTGTTTTATTTAGTTAAATTAAAGTCGGTTTAATTGGTTTCCATGTCACTCTGTATGTATGGAAAAATAGATTCTTTCAACTAAGCTAAATCTAAAGGCTAATGCCAATAAGAATGTATGAAATAAAAACAAATTTTTTGCATTTCATTACTCAGATATCGGTTAAGAAATTAAATGAAACATGATTATCTCTGTCTATCTCACGCTGAACCTTCACCTATCCCTCTAACCTGGTGGAAAAGAAATCCAGCGATATAAATGTTTTTGCTACCTTATAAATCTAATATAATAATGTAATAAAATATATAAATAATATGTATGATATAATATATATGAGAGGAAAAAGTAACATACGACATCCTGTTCTTCCTTTTGCGTGCAACAGCGGCGAGAAGGTGTGGATAAAGATAAACATCCATTAGTCCCTTGGCCTATTTGATTTGTTCTATCATAAGCTTGAAATATTAAAGTATCCATATCAGATCAAAAGATAAAAGGCAATACCGTTAGTTGTAGGAAGCGATATATCAAAGAACTGAGACATGTTTGTGCAAATAACAGAAGCGTCATACTCACTATCCTTTCCGATTATAGGGTTGTCGCATTTGTAACGAATAATATTTATACGGAAAATTGTTTAGGTATTACAAAAATAATTAGCAATCTATACTCCAAAAATTTAAAATACTGATGAGTACAAAATATTAGTTAAAAATTTTTTTTAAATATATTTTTATAAAAAAAAATTTACACATAAAAAGTACTGGTAAATGTTCAATTGTATAATTGTATAAAACGCTTTATGGCGCAGTAGATACAAAAAACTAAACTGATGGACGGGCTGAATGCCGTTCTTTGGCCGACAAGATTTAAAAAGCGAAACCGTGTCCAGATTTAGTTTATTTAGACAACTAGAAATTGTACACGAAGTGAAGTGAAATTTTTATCTTTTAAAAATAAATGTAATTTAATGTCAAAAAAACTTAAATTTAGTTTGTGCTTTTTCACACAAACAATCCGTTTTTATATTTGATAGTTTCAGTAATCTTTTTTGCTATCTTTTTATTGAAAAGTTATATAAAAGCTATATGTAATCAATTAACTTAACAACCTTTTTACTATAGCTATTTATTAATTTTTGCCTTATTATTTTGGTATATAATATAAAATATATACTAAAACTGCTTACTTAATTATCCATTAAAAATATTGTCATGATTTATTGTTCTTATAATCACTTGTATTATTTGTATTTTTTATACTATTATTATAACAAGTAAATTCAATATTATTTTTCAAAAAAGATGAGCGGAAACCCTAGCTTATTTCCATAAATAAGGTGTGGGGGCTATCCATATCTCCCATGACATCCGCTGATGCTAGCTACTATTTCAATCCTTTTTATAATAACAGTATTTCCAATATTTTTTGATATTTAATTCTTAGTGTAAGTTTATCTTTAAATGTTGTAAACACGTTATTGGGAATAGTAAGTTTATTTTTTATTATAATAAAATTATAAATAAATTATTCGTAATCAATCACAGTACCTACACGCCTTTTCTCCAATTGTAAACATGTAGATGTAAATCGTAATAAAAACTTGAAGAAAAACATAACAAATGAATCAAGTAAACTCTTTTGTGTATAAAACTATATATTACTGTGCAGGTCATATGGTTTAAACATATTTTTTATATTATTTACCTGTATCTGTATCGATCTATAATTATTTTTAATTATCGGAGGGAGACTATATAAAAGCTTGCTTGGGTTCTATTCGTGTTTCTGTCGTAAAACAGTTGTGATTGCATGGCTGTGCTTCGTTTTGAAGGGTGGGATATAGCAATAGAATTACAAGGTACAGAGGCGTATCTCATTAGTCCTCGGGAACGGTAACGCGTGGGAAGCATCATGAGCAATGCAGTCTACTCTGTTATGTCCATGATACTGTTCATGTACCTATATAGGCGACGGTAAACACTTTCCATCAAATAGGCCATCAGCTTGTTTGCCATTCTGAGTTACATATAAAAATTAATTACCATATTTTTTAATGAAAATAATTTTCATATTAAATTACTGTATATTACACATCATCATCATTTTTATCTCAGTTATTATCCGTTCACTGCTGAACATAGGCCTCCCCTTATAGACAACCGTAAGGAACGATCCTAAGCACCTGCATCCACTAAATACTTAGTATTATATTGTCCCAAAATTTGTCGAGTTTCTTGATTAAAATTCTAAATGAGTTAAACCGGTGAAAATTATTTCAATTCTCATGTACGAGTATTTTTCAGGGAAAAAGACCACGCGGACGATCGCCTGATCAAAACTGTCGAGAGCTGCCCTGCGAGAAGCTGAAGACCGTGTAAAATGGAATAACATAAACCTTTCAAGGACACGACCTTCAGTAATGAAGAGGACGAAGAGTACGAGTATTTTTCAACCGACTTCAGAAAGAAGTTGATTCTAAATGGGTTGCAAATTATTATGTTCGTTATCTCATAACTCCGTCAGTTCTAAACCGATTTAGAAAAAGCTTTTTTTACTTACAAAAATATACTTACAGACTGGTCTTACAGAGATTTTATCAAAATCAGTTCAGTAGTTTAGTTTTTAAATCAAAATAAATAAAATATTTTCTTACAATTGTAGTTGGTTTTATTTTGTGGGACGCAATTTCTATGTTACTTCAACTTCCGTGGTAGAAATCGAGGGTCACGAAAGACTCGTACGATATGATGCAATGACTATGCACCAATTAGTCATTATTAATTAAAGTCACGGCCATGTGGATCCAGCATAGAATAGGCCACCCCTTCCTTTCTCGTGAGTGTCGTAAGAGCCGACTAAGGGAGGAAGAGGGATGGGCAGTAGCGTCCCTCTTAAACATTTTCAAAGCCTGACTGCGGTTGCTAAAATCTGCCTACCAAGCGTGGCAACTACTGGCAAAACATCGCAAGGGAGGCTTATGTTCAGCAGTGGACAATTAAAGGCTGATACGATGAATTAAAGTCATAGCGAGATTATAAATTTGGGGCAATAAAACAATACATACGAATAATATGTTTTCTTACTTTTATATAATAAATAAAATGTCATAAAAAGTATAATAGAATTAAATTTTATTAGCTATTTATTGAATATATATAATTTTTATATATTTTACTAATATCACAAGTGATAGTTGAAAGAGTACTATTTACATAATATATATTTTTAGTATATTCATGTATTTAAAAATGTGTCATCAGGTTTCTATTGGTTAAAAGTATTTTAGACTACTTCTGCTCTGGCATAAAGAAAATAAACAAGTCAATTGTGTTAATGTATGAAAAGTTATGACTTTTTGCCTGGAATTTAATGAGATATTTTTTATAAATAACGAAACATAATTGCATTAGATATTATTCAGCTCTTTGGCAATTACGATCGGGAGAAAGAAAAATTACTGTTTTAAAACTTACGTCAGCATTTAAATGGTTTTGAAAGTGTAGAATTAAAAAATAATATTAAATTATTAACCTTAATATTACCAGAAGGGTATCAGATATATAGACATATAGTTTTAACCAGAAAACTAATTGACTATAATAATTCCCATTAAAATATTATTCTCTTATTCTCTAATAATTAACCAATAAATTATTTTAAAAATATGTTCATATTATATTTAAGAAACGACTTCTTATACATTTTTTCAGTTTATTTATTCTAGTAACACATGAGACTAGTGGTAATTCAGTTATTTAAATAATTCAATATTATTAATAATAAAATTATGTTCATTTTATTATTTTTCATGTAAAGACTTTTTGCCTAAAGTACAATGAATTGATAACAACAAAATTTAAAAAAAATAAAAAAGGAACTCTCTTAAATAATTAAGAATGTGAGTAATCTTACTAGTTAATTATTCAAAAACAAAAATATTACATTTTCATATTTTTAAATAATTATGACATTACTTATTCCAGAAACAATGTTATATTTTATTTTATAAAATTAACTTAAATGATAACTTTTCCATATTATTTACATTTAATCTATGTACACTATTTTTAATATAAATTCTTGACTTCTCGAGGTTTGTTTTTAAATTCTAGTTATTTTTATTCTTAACTATACATTTGTAGATCTGATTTTCGATCGTATCCAATCGTTGTATGCAGCGACAGACGTGTATACACCGGGCCATCCTTCTCTTCCACAACCGTACCCGAATGAGACCACCCCAACTGCCTCCCAAGTACCCCCGGGTAACTTCCTCATCAATGGGCCACCGGAATCACCTCGGCATGCGTCCTGCCTATAGGATCCACCAGCACAGATCTGCTTTTCAACTAACTCAGCACCAAGAGTTCTGTATTTGTTGACGCATTCGTTTTTATTGTATATTGGCAAGTTTAGTTTTAGTTTGATCGGGCTGTTGATACCTGAAAATTTAATTTAGTATGTTTGTATGTTTATTTACACGAGTACATCTACTAAGCAACTATAGTGTATTGTCCATGGCGATATTCATATCTGTAGGCGACAGTGGCCATTTTCCATCAGGTGAACCATCAGATTCTTTGCTATTCTAATGATTTAAAAAAATTATATATATTGGAAGAATAATAAACTGCCACCACTGGCCTCAAACGCTTTCTGTTTTTACCTAACGGTAACCTGGAAGATAATGGCATACGGCATTTGTACAAATTTTATAGTGTAATAAAGAATATATAAATGTATAAATAATAGCAACATTTTGACAACATTGGATAGTCCAAGAAAAAAGTTAATTCATCTCCACCGGTTTTTAAGTGCATGATGTTATTTCTCTAATTTTTACAAAATAAAATCACGTATTATTCGATTCCTTCCTTACGGAGACATTTTTTTTATTAAAATGTTTTTTAATACTTTTTTCTTTACAGAAGTACCGCAAAGAGATTAAATCTATATTTTGGATCGTAACAGTCTTTTAAACAATAGTAAATATAGCCAAACATAGTCATGTTATATTTGAAGTTACCTATATATTATACTTGTAGTATACTACCATATAGTTGAGGTATCCTAAAACAGTAGTCATTTACGTGCATTCCACATCCATTTTACATGCAATTTCCCGCGCCACCAGAATAACAAATAGAGTAGCCACAAGCGATCGAAATTGATTTGAAATTCTACGAAACACCGTATCAAACCGGACTTGCATGTTTGAATCAATACGTTACCTTCTAAGGTTTTCCCCCAGCCGGCTACGTACACCTCGTATCCATCGCCTAGCCGCGAATTACCGTCCGCCAAACATACTGGTTTAACGTAATCTGTAACATTATATGCAATTTGTATAAAAGTTTTTCTACATATATGTATGTCTAATAGGTTTTTGTCCGCTACTTCGTACTGTTGGATTTCGGAAGTAGGAAAATAAATGAAATAAATCACTTGTAGATGACGTATCAGATAATTTTATCTATATTTTATATTTTTCTATATTTTAGTTATATCTGCAGGAACAAAACGGTAGAAATCGCATCCAATTTAGTGCAGTAGTTTTTGCGTGATAACAGAACAAATATACGTACAGACAGACAAAAATTCTTAATATTATAAGACCTTATTATTTATATTTATTATTTATATTAATTTTTCCTAAATAACTTTCATGTACAAACATTATAATAATGACAAACCTCTCATGGGTTTTTACTAATGGATGAAAATAGAATAGTAATCCCCATTTAAAGATGGTAGACTATGATGAAAGGACAGGCCAGTTGAATCATCGTAACAAAATCATTAAGAATAAACCATGATGGTTTCCAGGGGAGCCGCGTGGAGCGTCTGACAGAATGTATTGTTAACAATGGGGCTGCTAGTCCCCATTCTGTTTGTCGCCTAATTTAAATATATAGATTTTTCTAACTAATACTCGTAATCTCGTGTCATTTGTATTTACCTCTTTTATCTCTTTGTGACCCAATACATTAAGATAATCTTTATTCTAATTATTATATGACACGTGTCATTAACAATGTAATTATTATCGTCGCGGTCGAGTTTTATTGTCATCATTAGTATAGTGCTTGTTTATTTTATAATATACTAGTTTTTAGGCACTTCATCTGCTTGAATGCGGGAATATTCATAGACCGAGATTGAAAGAAGCCTATGTCATTCTATATCGCATATTGGAACTGTATATCAAATATAATGATTGGTAAAGGGAAGGAATTGTTAGTAATGCGAACCATCAGTCCTATTGCTAGCAATACACCCTGTCAGGTCGATCTCCACGTGGTCTCTCCTGGAAACTAACTAAAATATTAAATAATTGGTTGGGAAAAGGAATTGTTAGTAATGGGGTATGAAACTCCCATTGCTAGCAATATACTCTATTAAGTCAATTTCCACGCGGTTCCCCCTGAATTAAATTGGTTAATTCTCGTGGAATTCGTTTTAATGAGCTAACTGGCCTGCTTTCATTCTCACCTATCACTAGCGTCCTGCCAGCGTATACCGATAGCGCACGCGTGATTACCATTCTATTATAAACAAACTAATTTTCACATTTGTGATATTAGTTAGTTATTATAAAATAAGTTAATCTATGAAAAAATAATTCTGAGCTTCCAAGTGAAGCACTCACATTGTAATCAAACTGTGAACGTGATGTAGGTATATATACCTGTAAATTGTAAGATCGTGTCTTAGCGGTCAATCGACAAGTCATAATATTGTATATACGTATATAAATATAAGTCATCATTAAGTAGAAGCGAGCTGTCGTACAAGTAATCAATCATCTCAATTTAATTATATTGGGGCATTCTTATTTATTTAGTCTATGATTATTGTAATTAAAGCGAGTCGAATAATTGGATATTAGCTATTTATTTTTATTGTCTTATGTTATCCACACAGATCTCCTATAACATTGACTGCCACAAAATAGTCTTGAACCATCCACATCCATTTTTCATACAATACATTTGAAATCAATACTCTCCCCAAATAGGTGGTGATTCTACGTTGGGTTTACTAATAATATTAAAATATAAGTCTAAATGACAGGAAAATTAAACTATTACATAATTACATAAAAATATCCAACACTTGAATACTTAAGGAAGCAATTAAAATACTTGTAAGTGGTTATAACATAATACTTACAAGAATATTTCGCTCTTCTAGCAAGTCGCACAAGTCCAACGTCGTCTCTTCTATTTATATTCCCATCGATATATCCTGGATGAGGATATGTTGATAGCACGGGTATTTCTTGCGGAGGATCAGCACATTCTCCATCGCTACAGTCTACGTCCGTTTGGGTGTCGTATTCCCCTAAACGTACGGTCACTCTAAAAAATAAACTCAATATTAAACTACTATGTAGGTAACTATGTAGATATTATGAAAATGTAATAATTGTTCGTGTTTTAAAGAGAGACATACACACACACACACACACACACACACACACACACAGAGAGAGAGAGAGAGAGAGAGAGAGAGAGAGAGAAAGAGGAAAAGAGAAAGAAATTACTGGGGCGTCACTATTCATTCTTATAACCGACTTTCAAAAAACACGTTTATGCTCACTATTATACTTTATCTGAGCAGTTGGTAAGCACTATCTATTATTCTTATCTCCGTGTATAATGTAGTATATCTTATATATGTGTAAGTATATTTGTTATTTATATATATTTATTTGTTTGTATATGTACATTTTAGTATGTATGTATATAAATTTTTATTAGTACCGCATTCGAATGGTTGACTGGGAGAGAATGCTTTTAGCATTAAGCCTGCCTATACACATATATGTACTAATAAATAAATAAAAATAAATATTCATGTTTATACGCGACAGTTACTACTTTCCATCACGCGAGTAGTCAACTTGCTTGCCAATCTCATAATCCTTGTTGCATTAAAATATTTTTTACATAAATATACTTTGTTGCCTGTCTGTTTACTCCTGCCAGAGATTTGGTATTAAGATTGATGTTTGTCTGTTCAAATGATGATCGATTTATGCATAAATGAAATTGGACACGACAATTAGTTTTGCTCTGAATGAATATTATTATCCAAATCTCAGATTTTTTTAACGAACTATATATAATAATCTTTATCGTTATTTTTTTATGACTCTACTACTGAGTTCGGGACGTTGTTATCTGCTAAGAAGAACCCGAATAAAAAAACTCAATAGTCATTTTAATCATTTTCAATTTATTATGTACACGATAATTTTATATTTGTTTGGGTACTATGACTGTAATTAGCATTAATTTATATTTATATACCATATATTATTAAATGGCAAATAAACAAGCAAACATGTGAAAACCAATCCCTACAAGCAGAAACCGTTCATGAGTATGACGAACGAGTCAGCCATCAATGCACAGGAAAATCAACGATCCGGCTCATTATGCCATATCACAATTCGTTGTTTAATATTTATTTACGTAGTTACGTCACAAATGTTAGAACAAAAAAGTCTTCTTAAAATCGAATTGTTGTTTTAAACGACATTAGCACTATTGGTGACGTCATGCTATGTCCTTACAGCTTGTGTTTGCGGGCTATACGGTAGTGAACGAACTCGATGACTTTTTAGAATAAAATTATCACGTCACGTAAGCATGTACGAGTATAATCATCTGCATATTATATATAATCTATCTATAGATATATCTAATATAAACTTCCTTAGGTTATCACGTATGACGATAATGATATCAGTGGTTTACTGTCCACTGCTGAACATAGGCCTCTCCCTTGGTGGACTTTACCAGAGGGAGACTTTGTACAAAAGTCAAGCTGTCCCATTCGTGTTTCAACCGTAAAGCAGTTGTGTTTGCATGGCTGTGTTTCGGTTTGAAGGGTGGGATATGGCGTGAATTTACTGGGTACGGAGGAATGACACCTGAGTCCTCAGGAATGGCAACGCATAGGGGGTGTCATAGGACGAAACAGTATACTCTGTTATGTCCATGGTATTGCTCATGTCTACAGGCGACGGTTACCACTTTCCATCAAGTAGGCCGTCAGCTTGTTTGCCATTCTATGTTGTATAAAAAAAAAATGTTGCTACGCTTGACAGGCAAATTGGCAACCACAGACCATCTCTTGACCTTTATTCCGTCGCCTAATAGTATCCACGAGAAAGGAGGTTCTACGGGTCCACATGCCAATATCACGTATATGCTTTGATAATAAAAAAGTAAAAATATAAATTAAAAACTAAGAACAATTAAAATGTCTGGACTTCCTTGTTTAGACATATTTTTACTTGTATATGATAAGCTTTTGTGTGCTCTAGCATAGAATGGGTCAACCCTTCCTTTCCCGTAGGTGTCGTAAGAGGAGATTAAGGGACGGCGAGAAATGACCAGCAGCGACCCTCTTAAAACATGTTTAAAAGCCTAATGCGCCAACCTTTGTACATAGTAATTTACTGGTCTTTATCTCTCTCGACTGAAATAATAATAAAAAATATGATAAGTATGCCCCGCTTATACATTATTATATGCTTAATAAATATATGCACGCCAATTTATCTTCCAAGATGTGCTAATATCGTATTGGAATATTTGGGGAAATTAGGACTATTCTCCTGTAGTGAACTCAGGCTAATTAAAAGTGTTAATGCTTCACATCAATACATTTCACTATTATTTCCAATACTTATATTTCTTAAAATTATTTATTAATATCGCGTATTTGTCATATCAGTTAGAAGTCTATAATTCTATAGTATTTATTTCCGTAATTACTAAACATTTATATCTGTATTTACACTCGGATAAAAAGCTATCTAAAATATAATTTTATTTTTTATAACTCAGAGGGCAAATGAGCATGCGGCTCACCTGATAGTAAGTGACAACCGCCGCCCATGAGCACCCAAAATACCAGAGGCACAGAAGTTTGCTGCCGGTTTTTTTTCTTTAAATTAAGAATTGATTACACTTAGCAGTAAGAAATATTATTTAAAATTACTTACAGATGCCCTAATTCCCTTTCAATAGCGCCTGTGATGCAATGTGCGGCTGTTAACACGTATCTATGGTTGATTAGGACGCCACCACACTGATACGATATTCTTCCTTTGTCTATAAAAAAATGCACATATATACTCGTATATCGCTATAAAGAATGATAAAGAAATAATAAAAGAAAATATTTATCATTATTATTATGTCAGCCGTTAACTGCCCACTGCTAGTCGTAAACAAAGGCGTCTCCCATAAGGGGGTGTTGGAAGTAGTTGCTACGCTTGGCAAGCGTGTTGGCAACCGCAGTTAGGTTTTGGTTATGTTTTAAAAGGGATGCTGCTGCCTATCCCTTGACCAAGTTTCCTTAGCACCTCTTACGACACCCATGGGAAAGGAAAGGGAAAAACAATATAAGAAAATTGTGAATTAATAAATGAGCACTATAATTCTATTCAATTTATTTAATGGTATATTAAGTAAGAATTAAACTAACTTGATTTAATGACCATTTAATAACTTTAAGTTTATATCTTATTTCTTGACATCTTAATGTCTCAACCAGTCACAAGATTTAGTATACCTACACATACTAATTGAGACGGAGAAGAACTTAGACTAATGATCCTGGTCAATTAACGTATCCCAGTTTAACAAATGAAATCCTGACAAAAAAAAAATAAGTAAACAAATAATAAAACCAAATTGATTGTTAATTTTAATAATTAAATAAATTGTACAAAAAAACATCAATGATTCATATAAATAACATTTTATATGCTAAATGTTTAGGTAATGGTTGTCGTAAAATATCTTTGTTTAACATTATGTAACTACATAATTGTATTATCTGGGCTTTGTCAGTGTCAATAGTTTTTTACAAATTAAATGTAATTTAAATTTAAAAATATATAGGTATATAAAGACTTACGAGTTCGGTAACCCAACAATGCCATCCACGGGAATTCATCCAAATCTGTAATTTGTCCTCCGTATATTCTATCGCCATTATTATCAATTCCACAATTGTTTCTTGGTGCTGGCGATGAGTCTTCATCGTACACTGGATCGATTTCGGCAGAATTTGACTGCGTCGTAATACGTTGTCTTTGCTGAAATAAACATTTATTATAAGGGAAAGGTTGCAACAATCGAATATCTAAATACGATATTAGAAAAAAAAATAGTTGTAGATGTTTTTAGTAAGCTGATTAATGTTAAAGAGTATCATGTGCTATACAGTATACTTCATTATGCCTATGCCTATAGCTTGTTTGCCATTTTAAATTACATAAGAAAAAGAAGCTTACGTGTAGTCACAAAATAAAAACAACCCGAAGACTGTATTAATTAGATCTGTGTATCTTCGACTTGACCTGCCAAACTTTAATTGGACTTAGACCATTAAGCCCTCCTAGTTTTTTTGATGGTCGGTAAAAAGAGATACTCAAATAAGATACTAAAAATTATAAAAATAGTGTTTATAAAAATATACAGTAGAATCTGGGGCATTCCATATAATCGAAAAGCCGAGTAATTGATTTCAAAGTGAAATAAGCAATAATTAAATTTAACGTATTAAATCACATCTTTTCATTGCAGCCAAATCCCTGATGCGCTATAGTTGTAATAACTGTATGGGATTCGATTTGTCCTGTCTTGTCCGGATAATCGAGATTCTACTGTATTAAAAAATTGGTAATACAATCTTGACATAATATGGTTGTTCTATATTATGGAAGTTGTTTATTAAAAAAAAAAAATCATTAAATTCGTGAAAAATTATTATTGTTCAATATATCACATTGAATGTGAATAATAAAATTTAATTTTTATTTCGCGCATTATTTGAGTGTGGATATATTCAATTAGAATAAAAACTGTACAAAAATGATAACATGTATTTTTTTAATCAAAATCTTACTGTATATTAATGAAAATTATTTCATTAATATACAGTAAGTAAGTAAAAGCATTAGCTATAAAAAATTATACTAAAAATTTACACCTATTTATTATTCTCTCACCGTAGTAGTAGAAGTTTCATCTCTCTGCCCGAGTGGTCCACAACAAACTCTCGGCGTGTAACCCTCGAAACCGCATTGTGATTGCTTCAAGAATCTTATGACGTTACTCGGCAACGGCCGCAGTTCAAACGCAGACAGGAGTTGAGGGCAGTCATATAGAGAGATGCACTGACTAGTTGCACCTAGTGGCGTGACGCAATCAATTGAAACTGAAAAAAAAAAATTGAATATATATACTTTTCTAAAAAAAAAAAAAAAACGACATGGGACGTTTACATTAGATAAAGAGAAAAGGCATAGTGTACAATATGATGAGCCATGAATAGGCTCAATTTACGTAAATCTAACAACTCCATTGCTAGCAGTATTCCCTGTTAGATCCATCTCCAAACAGTTCCTTCTGGAAACCTTCGTAGTTAATTCTTAGCGAATTCGTCACAACCATTCATTACAGATATTTTAAAGATCTCATGATTTAGATTTCATTAATCAATTTCACTTAAGTCTTAACAAATATACCAACACATTAAACTTTTCCCAATATAAAAATAATAATATTTTTTAAGAATGAGATTAAGATTTACATTATAAGATAATGGATTCAATCTCTAAAGTTAATAAAATATCTCCAAAGTGGTATTAGCTTTATAGCAACGTACGCTCAATGCTATGTAATATAAAACTATAAAACCATTTTAAAGTAGTAGTATTTCCAAAACATGACATCGAAATATTTAAGAACGCTTGTTTGCCCTCTATGTTATAAAAAAATTATCTTAGTATTGTAATTTTAGCATCACACTGTTCTCTCTTTTCATTAAGAGTATAATATCTCTTAATGAAAAGTATAGTACATTTCTTGTCGATGTAACTAATTTATACATTCTATTCCAGGAAATATTTTAGACCTTCCTATATGACATAACACCTAATAGTCTCTTTATACATAGTATGCTCTCTAAAAATCGCCATGTCATATAAGGTAGCTCAGCATTTTGCCTCTTCTATTCTGTATTATTTTTATTAATGCTCTTTTCTCGTTCACTCTTTTCGTCTTTTCAAGACATTCTCCTTTGTTACTTTTTCTGGACAGCTTTTCTTTTCCATTCTCGTTCATGCCCACATTTAAAATGCCTCAAGCATCTTTATTTCTTTTTGCGTCATTGCCCATGTTTCATCTATTTCCATTTTCAGCATAAAGGCTGCAATTTTAACAGACATCTAAATCTAGCTTACGGATACTTTAGTAACTAAGTATATTTTAGTGTGAGCTGGTCTAAATAAATTTCATAAAAGTTAATTTTAATAATTAAATTTGGTAAGCATTTGAGAATCCACGGAGTCTTAAAATCACTCATTGTTGATGTTTTGGTTTGAAATTTGTTTATCGTGAGTTAGGATTTGAAACGCTTATTTGCGAGCACATGATTTTAATAATACCAAATTAAATATTAACATCTTATAAAGGATTTGAAGAATATAATTATTGAATCATGTTGCAGAAAAAAATGTTGCCTGGACGTGGTAAAAACCAAATGAATACGGGCCAAGCCGGAACTATAAGAGTAAAGAATTTATTCTTACAGATGTATTCATTATTTGTTATAGTGTAGTTGATATAATTAAGGTTGTAATATAGTCTATTTCAATAGAATTAAATTATAATGTAACTATGTATATAAAATGATGATGATAATGATGAAATTTAGTAAAAGTTATCATATAAACATTTTATAAAAAAACTATTAATGTTGTTTGTTTACATTTTTATTAAATTCAATTGAAGTCAAATATAGAACTCAGTTTAAGACTATTGTGGTGCAGTAGTAGATACGATGTATAGCGTATTTGGCTATTGTTGATCATCGTCATTTTAGCCGTTAACTGTATCCAGCTGAATATAGGCTTTACACATAGACTGCTGTAAGGGACGGCCCCAAGACACCTGCATCCACTGACTTCCATTTACGTCGTTACTGAAGTATGAATTTAGGGGGGTCATCTTACACTGCGTTAGTCTGTACGGAGACAGGGTTCTTTGAGCTATCTGACCAGCCCATTGCCACTTCAGTTTACTTATCCTTCGGGCTATGTCGGTCATATTGGCTCTTTTGCGAATATCTTCATTTTGGATTCTATCACGCAAAGAATCTTCAAACATAGCCTGCATACGACCAACCTTGTAAGAGCATGTTTCGGTTCCGTAGGTCATCAGTGGTAACACGCACTAGTTAAAGACTTTCGTTTTTAAAGTCTGAAGTTTTTAGATGAGACGGTGTGGCGTAGTTTTTTGAACGCTACCCAGTCGAGTTAGATTCGTCGGTTGACCTCTCGGCTACCGTTACTTGGGTTAAAAAGTTTTGGTAACGGTATTTTTGAAAAAGTTGATATAAACTCATAATCTATCGGAGTAAGTATACTACTGGGCCATGTATACATACATACTAAAATATATGATTTATTTGTACATTTATTTATAACTGTATTTAAACTTATTTACCGTAAGCATGAAGATAATATGACAAACAATTGAGTTATCAATCTGCTAATATCACAACAATTTGTATTACAACGGACACGCCATTTTCATCTCTAAGTAAATACAATTAAGTATGTTTATACTATACATGCAATGAATACGTAATGTTCTATTACATTAAAAGTCACTCATCACTAATGTCAAGGACAAGTAATAAATACTTACTTATATAACTCGTACCTAAATATTAATAATAATAACTACCACTGGACATAGCTGCAATGGCATAATGCCATTTAGTCACAAATTAAGCAGACACATCCTTAAATATTATTTTTAAAATGCATATACATTATATACTCGTATAGGAAACACCTAGACAGACATACTTAAATATGCAAATGTTTGTATTGTGCGGGGATCGAACTTGCGACCTTTGGAAGGTGAGATGGCATGTTACCACTGCACAGCATTGATAGTTTGTTTTCGCAATTAGGGTAAAAATTTTCCTGTTCGCGATATTTAGCAGAAATTAAATTCTTAGAGAAAAGTAATAAGGACTTGGAGAAATTATTATGAGTAATGATTCTTTAGGGCACTTTAAGTACTTGTTAACAGCCTAATGGTATATAAATAAAATGAAATACATCAATTAAGGTAACAAAATAGAGGATAAGAGGTAAACGTGGAAATTATAGAAAGAGCTTTTATACCGGCGTTCTCTTTGTGGTTATATGACAAAATGTAGTGAAAATCAACACAGGTTTGTGTGTAATTAGGTAAAAGTGTTAATTTTTCTCCAAACCGATACAACTAAAAATATTAGGAAAATCTAAATGTAAATAAACAGAGGTGAAACAAACATATTTGCAGTCATCTTAACATTTTTTTTACAACACAGGGGGCAAACGTGCTCACCTGAGGGTAAGTGACTAACGCCGCCCATGATCATCCACAACACCAGCGGCATTGCAGGTGTGCTGCCGGCCTTTTAAAAAGGAATATACTCTTTTCTTAAAGGTTATGTTGTCGTATCGGTTCGGAAATACTGCTGCTGGAAGTTGATTCCAAAGAGTGGTTGTGCGTTAAAGAAAGTGCCTTGAAAAACGCACGGTGGAAGACCGCCACTCATCCAGATGATTGGGATGAAACTTCACTCCACTACCGGGCATTATCATCTTTCATACATTCCATCCACGTGATATCATCCCAGCGACCCATCCCATTTTTTTTTAAATACATAGTAGCCAGTTGTTCTTAGTTTAGTATCTTTCTAAAGGTGAAAGACTTTATCAAATAGGTTAAGTTTTTAATACTAGTTTAAATTCCACATATTGAAGATTATAACTACTATTTTAACTAGCTTTGGTTGATATACAAACTATTTCGAAATATAAAAGCTTTTATTTCTCAAAGAGCATTTATTGTGTACATAAGTTTTCGCTATGTTATATATTTTTTTATTTTCGTGGTAGTCCTTAAGAATATTATTATTTGTTTTTTTTTTTAACAACTTAGAATGGCAAACAAGCTGACGGCTCACTTGATGGAAAGTGGTAAACCGTCGCCTATAGACATGTAAAAGCAGTACCATGGACATAACAAGTATACTGTTTCGCCCATGATATGCGTTGCCATTTATGTGTTATTCCTCTGTACCCAGTAAATTCAGCCATATCCCACCCTTCAAACCGAAACACAGCCATGCAAACACAACTGCTTCACGGTTAAAGACGAATAAGACGAAGAATGTAGTCAAGTATATAATTATATTTATTTTGGAGTACAGTAATACTTATTTGTCATTGTAAAGATTTGTGTATATAAAATAAATCATTGTCGTTAGTATATATATGTATATATACAACTTGAAATTAAAATTTCAAATGATTGCTGTCATCATCATCATATGTATAGACTGACTACTATTCATTCGTTCATATTCATTATCTATGTATACAAAATAATAATAAAAAAAAAAAAACACTAACGATATCGATTTTATACATAGTATCATTGATCACGATGGTATCAGCCGTGAACTGCCCACTGCTGAACATAGGCATTATGGGGGAGATAAGGGGAGTTTTGCCAGTAATTGTCACGCTTGGAGGACAGGTTGGCAATCGCAGTTAGAGTTTGGTGATGTTTTAAAAGGGACGTTTATACTTATCTCTTGACCATTAATTTCCTTTAGTCGCCTCGTGGTGTCGTAACACCTACGGGAAAGGAATGGTTGGCTCATTCTATGCCGGAACTACATACACAGAATAGTATATTGCAATTGTCATGTTACCTGTTTAGATATCTATATATCGGTTTTAGAAATTTCGATCTAACTTTCTGTATGTAAAAAATAATTTATTAAAAGTTGTACAAATATTACTATATATCCAAAAACAAAAGCAAAATATAATAATATTTACAATTATCATTTACGCATTTATAGGTTTTTGTTTATATTAATTTGATAACCTTACCGTTATCTTTCGTATACACATTTAAACATCTTGGCAATTATTAACAGATACTAAGAAAATTCCATTATATATAAAAGTATATATACTCATTTAAGATTAAGATATTTTGAATAAATCTTATTTTATATCGTTACCTACCGACATATTTCCATAAGGTTGACAACACAAAAATCACTATTCGCCACTTCATTTTCACTCAATGTATAATATCGATATAAATATCGATTGTCACTGGAGTTTGCGTGATTGTATTGTATTCGATTTTATAATTACAAATGAATCGATAAAAATCGGCGAAGTCTAACACTCGCGCCGTGGTACTGGACCTTGGAGGTCAAGCGCAAGCGTTAAGTATGAGGTAGTCGAGTGCGTTTGGTCGCTCTTGTTTGGATGGTCAGCAAAAAATGAACATTATTCCATTAAAATATATATGTAAAAAATTTATGAAGTGTTGAATAGATGTTAATAAAATTTCGTAAGTATACGTACAGATTAACAATATTCTAAATAAATATTTAGTGTGCTACTATTTGTGTTTTTATGTTGTTTTAACTTTAATAGACGGTCATAACTACCATTATAAAATGTATCAATATTGGTTAATCAAACACTTTTATTAAAAACAGTTTTTTACTATTAAAAAAATCATATCAATAATCAAAATTAGTATAGAAAAATAAATCAAGTTCCTAAAGTAAAATCCTTTTGTATTATTTTTAAGTTATTTAAAAACATTACTAGGACAATAATATTTTTTGTGTTATTGCAATGAGACGAATGAATGTAATGCATCATTTATATAAGCATATATAACACAAAAAATATTTATTAAAAAACACATTTCTTTTTTGTAATATTTTTGTGTTGTATGTAAATAAAATACTCGCTAATATTATAAATATAAAATTGAGTGTGTTTTGTCATTTTTTGATATGTATGCTACTACTTAGCATCTTAATATTGAGTCGTTGTAACGATTGATTGAGACCAATCATCGTAAAATTTAGTATATAATTTGGAAGGATATAGATTCCAATTTATCTTGGCCTATTAACAAATCCTGGTCATACGGATGAAATTACGGTTAAAAGTTAATAATAATATAATTATCATTACTAGTAATGTTTTTCCTAATTGCAAAGAATAGAATAAACATTTCATTTTATAAATATTATTGTAACGCTTACATAGTTCTCATTTCCTTATGGCAATGTGTGTCATCGGACAGAAAAAATATTTAGAACTCACAAAGCGTTAAAAGTTGGTAAATAAAAAAACTGCCTAAATATAAATATATTATATATATACAATATTCAGACATTTTTAATTAAACTAAATATATATAACGATATATATATATATATATATATCGACGGTTGAAAGGCAACCTTAACTAAGCGACATTTAATAAACTTTACAGGAGAGCGGTTTAAAGTTGAAATTTTTGAAAAAAAAATCATAACTATTTACCTGATTGACATATCGAAATAATTTTAACAGTTACGGAAAACATATATTTTTTGTTATTTTTTGATATCAAAGAAAATTATCCCAGACTAAAATTTGAAGTATTTTATGTCGGTTAGATAAAAAATATAGATAGGTAAAATTATATATATAAAAATAGTAAAAATATCGTTATCCTGATTCATCTAAATCTCCTTACAAGTACAATTATATAAAGACGTATATTAGATTGAACAAAATCAAGTAAAATTGTCTAGGTAAGTTCTTGTATGATTGTTGTGTTAGCAGAATATGTATCTTTAGTTAATAAATTTTCCTAAAATTATCCCAAACTGAGTTTAAACTAATTATTATTAATTATTTATAATGTAATAATGATAATAAATAATACTATAAAATTAACAAAAATATTCATAATATAAGAAGACTAATTTTGCTTTCACATAATTTATCTAAAACCTGTCTTTAACTTTCGTCTATTAAAAATAATAAATGATTGTTAGAGTTATAATAGGTTATCTGGTTTTTTATTATAGTTAATTTAATAAACTATTTTAATTAATTATTATTAAAATCACAATCTTTAATATCTGATTAGTTTAAGTGTCTTTGATATTTATTGCAATGGAAAGCTAACAAAGCAATTAGGAATAACATCGTCTGTGAAAAGTTTGACTAGATCATCATATTTGGCTTTTGATATTGGAAGCTGCGATCGATAACAAGATAAAAGAGATATCTTGGTTTTAAATTGAATTTCAGTATCAAAAGAAGCGTTAGTGTTCACGAATATTTTTGTTTTGCTTATCCTTCTTTGAAAGTCATAATACAAATCTTACTTATCTTTCCAGTTGGATTATTAATATGCAAAAATTGTAAATCATTGAGATGGTGCGTAAACAATTGTATTCTTTAATCTATTTTCAATCACTGCATGTACTGCATCTACGGGTATACGAGTATAAGTATGACCAGTCAAGAGAAAATTTATTTTAATAGTATTAATATTTTCATACTCCTGTAGTGATGAATGCAACATTGCTAATACAGTACGATTACTATATATTTATATAGATATTTCCTCTAGATTTAATATATTTGTTCAGTATTGATACAATCTTATTTGATCCTCGTTTGCCATTAGTTTCATCCCAATAGTAACAGAAAACATTACGAGTTCCATTTTCATAAAAGCAAATATTGTATACTGCCAGTTTTCTACTATAATACAAGGGCTGGTAATTTTGGATAATATTATATATCTCTTAACTATAGTAGTTTTTTTTTAGTTCTATTTGATAGACATACAATTTATTTGTGTTACTTACAAGCACATAAATTATAAAAAGCGAGAAAAGAGAAATTATTAAAAAAATACATAAAGCCAAGTATAATTTTTCCTTTTGTGCGTGTTCCGTAACAATACAAAATGGTCACAACTCAGTTTATTGCTTTGCCCTCAAAAGAGCAAAACACTGATATTCTGTTGTGGCCAAAGGGGTTTCACATATTTCTGGGTTCAGATATCCCTCTCATATTTTCTTTCGTGCATCCAAAAGTAGAATCTTTTACAATATTGTAAATTGTTTTATCAGAAATGTTCAGAGTAGCTACTAAAAATTGTTGACAAACATACTTTTTACCTTCGCCTTTGTTAATAAAATATTTAATAGTGTAGTTGCGCTTATCAGTGTCTGTACATTTACGTTTGATGAATCCTTTTTTGACATAGATACTAACCAATCACGGCGACGTGTTTGGTCAAGATCCAAAAAATCATTGAAAAATTTCCTCTTCTTACTTCAGATAAAGAACCACAGTTATTACCAGATTTTTTGCCAGAGCAAGGATTAGGCGCTGTTTTAACTATACCAGTCTTTGTAATATATTTTTTACCAGATTTTATATTTTTAGTTCGTTCTTTTCTTAGGTATAATTTTTTAAGCTTTGGACGCAGATTCTCCGATAATTTCTAGTTCTTGGTTATCAGGACTACCATCGTTAGTTTTAGTGTTATTTTTTTAGTACGTTTTACTTCTTATTATTTTTCTTCTATTTCATTGTATATTATTATCATCTTCAGAGGTTACTTCTTCTCCTTCTGACCAATTATCTGAATCATTTATGCCATAAAATATGGAAAAGTCTTGATCTGACATATAATCAATATAACTAACATCTTTCTTAGGTATTCTTTTATATTTAATTGGATTTAATTCATTGGATTCTTTACTCAAACCGGTGGATGTAGATGGTGCATCATGGTCTGATGTTAAAGAACGTGAGTTTTTCTCATTTTCGTAATTATATATATTTGATGCAGAGTTATCAGATTTATTTAACGTTATGATATTATAATCATGATCAATCGATACAATAGTAGTGCCAGGAAATGCCACCTGTTTAGTTGATGCCGTGTTATCTATTATCGTGCTTACAATGTCAATGGTAATAAACACATACACATTTTCTATTTGCCAAATATAATATTTGTATTTCGCGTACTGGTAAATTTATCTAAGCGCCATTTTTACTCATTTCAACGAGTCAAATATATGCAGTAAAAATATATACCGCTAAAAGCAAACATATTTTTATACAGGTAAAAATATCTAAGGTATAATTTACTTTAATTTTATTTTTAGTTAAATTACATAAATTGCAATATCACAAAATATTACATCAGGTAAAATTACATAACCAAAATATTTATATTTTTTTTAAATAGGTACAATATACTAAAACAGATAAAAACGAAATTTCATAACAAGTAAAAATTCCTACTTGCAAATAAAAGTGAAAACAAAGATATGAAAAATTGAATAAATCCATATTTCAACTTTTAAAATGGCGTAAGTAGCAAATATTCTTTAAATGACATTTTTTTTGTCGCTAAGTAAACATAAAATTGTAAATTTACCTAAAATCACGCAGTACTTAACCGACAAAAAAATTATCGTAGAATTTTAAAACCTAGACCATTCGACGCAGAAAAATCAGGCGATTCGAATGGTATATAAAACTAGTTTATATTTTTGTCGCTATAGTCAATTTTGCCTTTCAACCGTAAATATATATATATATATATATATATATATATATATATATATATATATATATATATATATATAAATTAAAAATTCTAAAAAAATTGTTGTTTTGTCATTAAATTTTTTCTAACAATTTTTTTATGTAAGTAATACTTCAAGTACACTTATTAAATTATCGATTTTAAGATTTTTATATATAATTAAAATCCAATTTTATTTAACTGATGTATTCAATAAATACTTATTTAGTTTTCTTTGCTATCTGTAGCAATCGCAATTAGTTATGAGATGGGTGATTCATGGATTTACCCAATATATAAACATGTTTTTCCTTCATTCTCAAGTTCTAATTAATTATAACTTTCAATGTAATATTCAGTATATTATATTTTTCATTTTTCCATTAGAGATTCTAGGTATATTTTTTCTAGCAGATGGAGCGTGACCTGTCAAAAAAATGTACTAAAGACACTAAGACCTTTGACTGAAGCATTATTTTGTCCTTTGATAAATACGAAAGTTTGAAAATATAACATCGGTAAATCTTACTAATATGTTAAAATTTTAACTAGATAACGTCTGTTTATGAAAGATGTCGTAATAGAAGCAATACAGTTAGTTCAAAATCATAATTTTTAGACATTTTATCTCTCTGTTTTCATTGCTAATTACAAAATATCAAATATACGTATATAGATGCCAAATTGCCATTTACAGGGGTATTTCTGAAACATTTACTTAAACTCTGGTATATGATATTATCTTGATACGCTACCTAGAAGTAACCTATTTTATCGATTTTCCTATTTCAGAAATTTACTCAGAAAATGTAGTATAATATACAAAATAATAATTCGAGTGAATAAAGTCACTAATTATAAAAAGTATGAAGCATTATTTTTTGCCGTGTGGTCCCGGATAGCCACCACTTTTTCTATGGATGTCGTAAGAGATGACTAAGAGAACTTAATGGTCGAGAGATAGGCAACAGTGTCTCTCTTAAAACATCACCAAACCTAAATTGCGGTTGCCAATCCGTCTGCCACATGTGGCGACTACTGGTAAAGTCCCCCAATAGAGAAAGGCCAATAATCAGCTGTGAACAGTTAACGACTGTCATGATGATGATGCCATTTTATAAATAAAATATTGGGCAATTTTTGTAGACACATTTTTACGGAGACACTCTATTCAGGTTGTTATAATCTGTATTTACCTTTTACCCATTTCTATTCGTAAAAGTGTTACAATTACTGGCAAGAATTAAAGAGATAAGAGCCATATTATATGAAAAGGTAACATTGTATTTATTTTTTATTTTTCATTTGTTTCTTTATGTAGCTATGAACATCTGAATGATACTAAGAGCAAAAATAAGTATAATTATCAATATCATAATAATTCGATTAATTATCAAATTTGTGTTTGAAATATCGAACAAACATGAAGTTTTTCTCACTGGGAAAATTTGTGATATAACAAAATTAAAACAATGTATTTATTTAAATACCCTCTTTTAACCTTATGGTAAAATATGTATATATAAAAAGTAAGTTATTAACCACGACTATATTATCGGAATTTAATGATTTTGGCAATTAACTTTAATAGCATTAATCTGGACTAGAACTAAAAATTTCTAATTAGCCTAATTACGAGTCTTATCTTAATTCACAGGTAGCAATAAATACTATTGCTATGTTCAGCAGTGGACGATTAACAGCTGATATGATGACGATGATGCTATTGCTAGTAACTCTCAGGTTGATTTCAAAGCGCCCGCTTTGGAAACCATCGTGATGAATTCGTCACGAAAGACAGCTTTTTTACAATTTAATTTTGTTTACAATTTCTATTCTTGAAGTTAAGAAGTTGGCTTAACTTCAAAAATAGAAATGTGTGTATTGTATCAAATAGTGTTAGTAGAAAGTTTTCAATTTTCTAAGAATAATAAGGACTAGGTAGAAGTGATACTCCAGTAAATGCAATAATATTATCGCGTTCGTTACTCAAGCCGTAATAGACAAGAACTTAATTCCTATTATCAGCGCAATCGTGCGCATCAGAGAATATGTTTTATCGTAAACCACAAGATGGCGTTTTATGATATATTTTTTATTTTATTTTACAAACTTAAATATCAATGTTGAAGATTTGTTTGCTTAGCAATCGACAAATATATTATTTTTATAGTAATAATATAACTTTAGTTAGTATGTACTTGACGTATTGTATTATAAATTAGATTCCATTATACTTTTTGTTAATTTAATTATTAATAATTATTTTAATACATCCCTAATGCTCCGCACTATATATTGTATGTACTGTATATTACTGCAATTTGTCTATGTCGAGTATGAGTTGTCAGTTTATATGAGACGTCGTCACTCCTATTCGTATACTATTGCCTCTGCACTATGTTTGTCTACAAGGTCGCCACTTGTGAATATTTTTCTATATGTTCGATATGGGTATCACTTTCCATTGATTTGGTAGTGTGGAGTTCAAAAATAACAAAAAAGTTTTTGTATGAGGGATATGCCATGTAGATATGAACTGTATATTACTTAAATATATCCATGTCGTGTAAAAGTTGTTAAATTATATGTATTACTGTTAATTCTACAGACAGGGGTTACCCTATTTAATGTTGGTCTAGGAAAAGCTGTCAGTTATGCTTCTTTCACTTTTTGTTATTCATGTATGACAAAGTAATTTGTTAAATAAGTACAACTTTATGTGAAACTCTATTTGAATGAGGGGAAGTGTCGTACACATTGAATTAAAAAAATAAATTATATAAATTTATTTTTTATTTGGAATAGTTACAGATTTTTACAATTGTATATAACTTAAAAAAATCTTAATTTTCTTAATTAACAAATTATTTATTCCAAAAAAAAAAACAATTAAATAAATTAATAAAAATAAATGGTAATGTTTCAATATTGTTTACATTTAGGCTTTTCTTCTACGTTAGTGCAATTGATAGTTGATCGTATCCAATCATTGTATGCAGCGACAGAGGTATATATTCCGGGCCAGCCCTCTCTACCACAATCGTTCCCGAATGAGATTACCCCGACAGCCTCCCATTTACCCCCAGACAATTTCCTCATCAATGGCCCTCCTGAATCACCTTTGCAAGAGTCCTGTTCCTTAACTCCACCAGCACAGATCTGCTTGTCACTTAAGATTGCTTTATATTTTCTGTATTTGTCGACGCATTTTATTTTATTGAATATGTGTAACTTTAGTTTTCGTTTGATCGAACTCTCTATTCCTGGAAATTTAAAGTAAAATTAGTATACTGTGATGTTATGTCCATAGGCGACAGGTACTATTTTTCATCAGGGCGATCAATTTCTTTGCTATTATAATATTTTGAATTTTAGTAAAGAAATATTAGAATTTAAAATAAAATGTATTGAAAGAATAATATCAATTGACAAAAATTTCAATAACATCCCCTTAAACAATGCAAAACATTGTCAAATATGTCATTTATGTTCATACTACATCCGTTATATATGTAATACTACTATATTTATAAATATAGGTGGCTCAGAAGAGTCACCTATATAAATATAGTAGCCACAAGCAATAGAAATTTATTTGAAATTCTATGAAATACCTTCTAAGGTTTTTCCCCAGCCAGCTACGTGCACCTCGTTCCCAACGTCGAGCTGTACGTTACTGTTTGCTAAACAAAGAGGTTTAACGTAATCTGTAAAACAATATATAGTTTATTTAAAAGTTCTTTTATATACACAAAATCTATATAATTATCTTTAGATTAGATCTTTTATAGCCAGGCAGATTCTTCATCAATTGTGTTATCCTTTTCATTATCTATTTTAAAAACATTGGCCCTTTGAATAGTTTTAGACAAATAAAGTCCAAAATTATTTACTTCTATTTCTTCAACTTCTGAATTCTTTCTATTATATATCTTTATTATTATAATTATATATTCCAATTATAACAATTATAGTCATGTGTCTTTTATAATGTAATTGTTATGTGTTTGTTGATTTGCATAGCTTTAGAAAATATATCGTCATTCGTCCAAAAAATTATTAATGTAAAATAAATCCAACTATCACAATCAATCTGAGTATATAATGTATTTAAAATTAATATTTAAAATGTCTACACATTAGTGGTAAATCGACATATGATGATGCATTTACGTATCAACATAGCCAGATTAAGTATTTATTTTACAATTTTGTGTAAAAGTTTTTATGTTGGACAAACCGTAGTGACGTGGAATTGTTGAAGAAATTTTTAAAGAAATATAAAACAAGTGTGGAGAATGTTGACTATTTTTAGAGTTTGATATTTGTAATTCGTATATAAATAGTAATGAAGGTAAACATCATCTTAGAAATCTTAGATACTTTGAAGGGTGTGTAAGCCTTTAACAAAAGTCTTTAAGCCTTTAAAAACTTTTTCTTGCCGCTTATTTAGTTTATGATTGTGTAGAAGTTAAGGAAAGCATATCAATTTTAGAAAAAAAAAAAAACTAATTTAAATTGGGGAATAAATAAAAAATCGCATGTGGCAACGTTGGTACGTATGCAAGTGAATGTCATTATAAGTATGGTCATGCCATTCGTCCACACTTAAATTCAACATTTAGACTTGCAAAACCCCTATACTCTGTAGCATCCATTTGACATTATAAATATGGAAATAATTTTGATCTAAAAACTATATTCGTCCGATTTTGGAAATCTGTTGGTTTGTCTTCAAATTTTAATGCTAACTATGGGTTGTCTCACTTCGAGTAATCAATCGGCTCAATTTAACGATGTGGAGATATTTTTATGTTTTCAGTCTGCGTTTTTTATATTTAAATTTACTGGGACAAGGTGCGAGCGGGATACTTAGCTAATATCACCCTTTCGGTATTTTATTTTCTACACAGACCTCCCACAATATTAACTGGCATAAGAAATAGTCCTACTCCATCTAAATCAATCTAACTTCTTGGAATATAATTGAGATTATTTCTCTGTTCACTGGGTGGACTATCTAACACTGTATTTGCTGGTAATATTTATATGTGCAGTATATTTGAGTATCGATAATTTGAAATTTAAATCATAATTATATAAAATAATAATTAAATCTCTGAGTATCCAAGAAAGTAATTAAAATAATCTTTAACAATAAGGTACTTACAAGAATACTTTACTCTTCTAGCAAGCCGCACAAGTCCAATATCGTCTTTTCTATTTATGTTCCCACCACAATATCCTGGGTGAGGATACGCCGATAGTACGGGAATTTCTTGTGGAGGATCAGCACATTGTCCTTCGCTACAGTCTACATCCGTCTGAGTGTTGTATTCCCCTAAACGTACGGTCACTCTGAAAATGTACTTTCAATTAATATTAAATCATTACATTGATAACTACTACTACTATTCGTACTACCTTGGCTTTGTTACGTATATAAGTTTCTAAGGTGTCTTATCAGATTTTACGTGCACCCCAAGGCACGAAGCAAGTTACAATAATTTAAATGGTTCTAATTATAAATTTGAAAGTTTAAGCTGGAATTTGATATTAGGTTCCCCGAACCGCCATCGAATGTTGTCCAATTTATGTGTTCTCTAATGTTAACAAATATTATGTTTTATTTGTACAATATCCTGGATATTTAATTTTTTTATATTATAAATATGACAGTAAGTTTATTTGCTTATTCGTTACATTACAGCGCTTCAGTGCTTAAACCAATCATTATAAAATTTGGTATACACATACTATATGAGATATAGAAGTCCACTTTTCGAAGATGAAGAGAACACGTTACGGGAACGGCCGATGTACACGTTATGGTACGGTTCACGTACGAGTTTGCAAACATATTTGTGCGTAAGCGCGGTTGATCTACCAAATGTCCAGTACTGTAACATTACAGGATCCATAATAAATTTACGTATTTGGTCTTCTATACATATGTTTTCTAAATTCCTTAAGAATATTCTCACTATGGACCTTTTGAGTATTTGTCACGTTTGTTGAAAGCTTTCAATTTATTGCGTTTGTTTCGTGATAATGATTCGTTTATACAATTATAGAATCAAACTAGGGACTCTTAAACTTTAGAAATATTATATAAAATTACTTACAAATGTCCTACTTCCAGATCAATAGCGCCTGTGATGCAATGCGCGGCTGTCAACACGTATCTATGGTTGATTAAGGTGCCACCACAGTGATACAATATTATCCCTGAGTCTATAAATAAATATATATATCTCTTTATTAATAATAATAAATATAAATAAAAAATAAAATGACTAAATGAGTAAATTGAAAAATCATGCTGACACCAATTTACTTGAATCATTATGCCCCTGCCCACACCTCTCTTGTTGTTAGTTTTTATCGGTGACCGAACACCCCCTCGCCGGATATGGCCCCGTGTGATTCTTGTTCCCAAAAACCAAAACTATCTGGGGCGGCATTTGGCGCTATGAATATTACCATAGTCTTTACAGATTTCTGAATAATTGTAAAATAAAATTTTTAAAAAACTTTTTGTAACACTGAGGTCTATAAATAAATATATATATCTCTTTATTAATAATAATAAATATAAATAAAAAATAAAATGACTAAATGAGTAAATTGAAAAATCATATGACCTTATTATTGATGATCAAAGTGGCGCTATGGATATTACCATAGACTTTTCAGCATTTTTGTAACACTGAGGTAACTAACAAGCATACGACCTACTTGACGGTAGGCTGTAGATTATAAAGGCCTGAAAAACCAGGGCTATTATGCACGCGTTATCGAACTTGAGGCCTATAAAATCAAAGACTGGGCATTTGACAGACTTGGACTAAGTCTGTTAAATGCCCAGGAAACTACAAAAACTAATATTTTGACAAGGCGATCTGGTTTAAAAACATAGAACGATATTCTATGTTTTTAAACCAGATTGAAAAAAATTTGAATATTTGTAATAATTTGAATTTTAATTAATAGAACTTCCTCTATATTTGAGTACAGAGTGAAAATGAAATCGATTTTATGGCATTTAGCGGCCTGTGATTTTATAGACCTCACTAAGAAATTTCCTTACTCCTTTTTTGAAGAAACTATTGCCGTATGGTCCTGTCATAAAATGTTCCATTTCTTTCCTTATAAAAGGCGATTAAAGGAACTTAATATTTAAGGACGGGCAGCAGCGTCCCTATTAAAATATCACCAAAGCCTAATTACGGTTGCCAATCTACCTGCCAAACGTGGCGACTACTGGCAAAGTCCCCTAAGGAGAGGCCTATATTCAGGAATAGACAGGCTGACAAATATAGTTACTAGGCTACTACACACTCACACAGGTGAAACGGAGGTATCAAAATAGACGAGTTTTGTGCAACGTCTGGTAAAATGTATTAATTTGGAATTTATTATTCCAAGTAGCACAAAAAATATAGAAACTAAACTCACATTTTCTGTAACCCAAATGCGCCATCCACGGGAATTCATCCAATTTTGTAAGTTCGCCCCCATATATTTTATCTCCACTATTATTAATACCACAATTGTTTCTTGGTGCTGGCGATGAGTCTTCATCGTACACTGGATCGATTGCAAAATAATTTGGCTGCATCATAAGTCGCTGTCCTTGCTGAAATAAGCACTTGCTGTAAATATCGAGTTGCTCTAATTCGAGACTATTCTAACCATTATGAATAGGCGTGTAATTTAAAGTATAATCATCTAACTCATTATCTAAAATGCATCCTTTATGATATTATAAATGTGAAAGTAAACTAGTTTATAAACAGCTTAACAAATCGTCAATCATCGAAAATCAAATCATCCATCCATAACAATACACTGACAATTGACAATGCAGTATTTTGGATTAAAAAGGATATAGGTGACTTTTAGTTTTGGTCAATCAATATATTATCCTAATTACACGAAAGAAAATCCGATTAAACACTAGTATATAAGAAAATATTATTAAATAAATAAAAAGACTTCCATTCTTAATAAAATGTATATGAAGTCAGTATGAATGTACTTTTAGTTGATAAAGAAACCTTGTTGTAGTCATATTGGAGAAATTATATCTTTTTAAGTCGATTGAATAATACAATAAGGCAGGTTGACAATATTTAAGGACCTGTAAGGTATTGTGGACCTGTAGTATCTACCTTATTGTATACAAGCTTTTACACTTCGTTTGCTCGTTTCAGGATAAAAAATAACCTATAGTACGTGTATACTAAATCTCATAGTTAAGTTGTTAAGGCGCTATAAGGTAACAAGCAAACAAACTCAGCTTCACATTTATAATATTAATAATGATTTTTATTATTCTATTACCATAGCAGTAGGAGATTCCTCTATCTGTCCGAGTGGTCCACAGCAAACTCTCGGTGTTATACCCTCAAAGCCACAATACGATTGCTTCAAGAATCTTTTCGCGCCGATTGGTAATGGCTGTAATTTAAACGCAGCCAGAAGTTGAGGACAGTCGTATAGAGACATGCACTTGCTAGATGCGCCTAGTGGTGTGACGCAATCAGTTGAACCTAAAACAGAAGACAATCAAAATGTTAAAACTAATGTCCTTTATCTATAGTAATATTATAAACAGGAAAGGTTTGATTTTTATATGTTTGTTTGTAATAAATAAATTCAAAAACTGCTCAACTGATTTTAAAAATTCTTTTACTTATAGCTACATTATCAGTATAATATAGCTGCCCGTTTGATCCCGGCCATAGAATAGGCCACCTTTTCCATTTCCATTACGGGTGTTTTTGAGCCAACTAAATGAGGGTGAAGGATGGGCAGCAATGCTCCTATTAAAACACCTCTAAAAGCCTTACTGCAGTTGCCAAACCGGCTGCCAAGCGTGGCGACTACTGGCAAACCCCCCAAGGGGGAGGCTTATGTTCAGCAGTGGACAGTTAAAGGCTGTTATGATATAATAATATAGGTTATACATAATTTTAGAAAATTCTATCTATCCGTACAAAGTCGGGTCGGATTGCTAGTGTATTAAAAATTCTTTAGATTTTACCCATTAATAATTGCCATGATAATTAAAGAAAGAGGATTATCAGATGTGTCCACACTTCTGTTTCTGTATGAAGAAGTTATATTATGAATAAAAGTTAGCTTAGTTTGGCAACTTTATTTTGCCAATTTACAAAAACAATTGAATAATTCCCAATATTTTAGACAGGTTATTTAAAAAGCAAACAAATAAAAGAAACTAATATGTTAATCATATATATTAAGATTTCTATTAATCTCTCTTTTTAAGATAAAACGGATAATCCTAGTACCGACACCAGTCTCTCACAAAGATTGTTTTTAAATTGTAACCTATACAGCTGTTAATTTTATTATTTTGTCATTTTGTGAGAGAAATAAATAAATATAAAATAAAATAAATAAAAAATAAACGTTTTTAATATATCTAATAGGTAAATAATTTATATTGGGTCATAATAAAATAATTGTAATGTTGGTATTATTTCACCCAAAAAACAAAAAAAAAATACGTTAAATATGCGGTTTATCCAGGCAACCTTCAATAGAGAGGAGTAATTATAAACAGTTTGATGTGAGCCTAATATATATAGCACAATTAATATAAATAAAACTATACTTATATAAAAACAAACATTATAACATATTAGACATACTATGACAGAATATATTTGTATAAAATATTTAAAATAAATCATCGTTACATTTTTACTTACCAACAAAATTCCAAGAGGACAATGATAACACAAAAATCACGATTTGCAACTTCATTTTCATTTATGTATGTATAAATATATATTGACACTGAATTTTACGGGATTATAACTTTATTCCATTTTATAACTATAAATTAATCGATATAAATCACTTGCACTGTGGCAATGAACCTTTGCTGTCAAGTGCAAACTTTAAATATTATATAATCCGAAGCGTTAAGGATAAACTGTTTGTATGGTCAGTATAGAAGGTTAATATAGTCCAAGTACAGATTAAATTTAAATATTAATGTTGTATGAAATACACACGACAGCGATATAGCATTACCAAAATTCTCATCATAAATTATACTAGATATGGCAATCGTAAGAATTTAACCGATACCTAGATGAATTGTATACAATATATACAATATATCAGAGACTTTGTACGTTGTCGTTTGCTTGGGTACCTTTGTCCCATTCGTGTTTCAACTGTGAAGCAGTTGTATGTCGGTTTGATGGGTGGGATATGGCGTGAATTTATAGGGTACAGAGGAATAACACCTGACTCCTCAGGAGTGGCAACGCATGGGGGGTATCATGGGCGAAACAGTATACTCTGTTGTGTCCATGGTACTTCTCATGTCTATAGGCGGTTACCACTTTCCATTAGGTGGGCCGTTAGCTTGTTTGCCATTCTAAGTAGTATAAAAAAAAAATTTAAAAGTAATTAAGTACTTCATCTTTTTTCTTCGTTTGACAGCCATGTGAAAATGGGTGAAATTATGAGGTAAAGAAGTTTTATTGAACTGGATTGAAAAAATATAACAAACATGTAAAATAATAACGTTTTTCATAAAATGTAATAAAATATTGCAAAATAGTAACGAGTATAGTTAAAAATAGAAATATAGAATTCTAAATTAATACTTAATACTATCTATGTGCTTATTGATTTTATTCTTATTTAGTCACGATTACAGGGTTCCTTTATATCATATTTATCAGTACTTATTAGCTAAATATTAATAATAGAAATATGTGTTGTTCTTTTTATTTTAAAAGTATTTTTATTATATAATTGTCATTCTCAGTTTCTAGGTGTAAGTGGTGATGAACACATTTATTATTAATTATTATAAAATAATATTTATTATTATTATCATTAACCAAAATTAAAAAAAGAAATCAAGTACCTAATGCGATATCTTCTTATATTATTTTTCAAGCATATCTCAAATAAAATGAAATGAAATTTATTTGCTAGAAACATTGTAGAAAAGGTGTGTCAAGACAAGCAAACATTATAATGTAAGATATATAATAATTGCATTACGAGCAATAAGAAATTATGTATTAATCAAGTGCGATTAATATCCATAAAAGACAATATATAGAAATATTTTATTAAATGTACACGGTACCATAAATAGTAAATTTTATAAATATTAAATCAACAATATCCAGATAAGAAAAACCTATTAATTTTCTGTGGTCGTCAGTTATTGAGATTCTTATTGTTTAAGAAAATCGCATCCCTATAAAAATCGTAATACCCTCCATTCGCGTTTTATTCTACCGAATTCTCTGACTTAAGACAAACAGGCAAAACCGTCAGCTCAGTCTAACGTATACCGCGAAACACTGTATGACGAGTTGCTGTTTTTGTGCCTATCTTGATCTACACCTGCAATACTGCTGGTGTTGTGGGTGATCATGGGCGGCGGTAGTCACTTACCATCAGGTGAGCCGTATGCTCGTTTGCCCCCTGTGTTGTAAAAAAAAATAACATACGTACTGTGTGGAGAACTCCTAAACCCCTGGGCTTGATTGCTCCCAAGTACTTGCGAGTGATTACATATATATTATTATAATTAGAATAGATCGGCGCCATTGTGATATTCACGTGGTGTGGCTTCCTGAAACCTGGTGCATCCTGAGCGTATACCACCTACGCTAAATCTGCAGTCAAGGTGAATCCTTACCATTTTATGACTTCAAATTTCTTTTAATAGGTTTTATATTTCTACTTTCATTTCCACGTGTGTTAAAATAATTACTATTTAAATCAGTCATTTTTCTTACCACTAATGCTAGTCTTCATTGCAAGCAATATATATACTGTCAAGTCGATCCTCACGCGACTGTTCTGAAAACGTGATTAATTTATAGAGAATTCGCCAAGATAAATAAACAGGTTTGATTTCAGATTTAGCACTTCATCCTCCACAGGTCATTGTATAGATAGCGTCTGCATCATTGTATTTTCATTCATATAAAATACTAATAAATTTTATTTTTTCTGCTATCTGTACCGTTTACCGTCGCTCATGTGGCAGGTGATTCATGGATTTACCGGGTAGGTAGGTAACAATGTTTTTCCTTGATTTCTAAGCTCTAAATAATTATACATTTCATAATGCATACACTGCTCTTTATGGGCAGCTTTTTCTGCTCTTATGTAACCATCAATATTTATACTTAACAATTAATACATGCTTCTCATTCCTACGCATCACTTTTCATCGAACTTCTAAGTCTAAATCCATCCCTAAAATAAAAATTTCAATTCAATATTACAAAAATAACTTTATTCTAAGGGCCAATATGAATTAAATTTTTAATAGATTTAAGTCGAAATTAATTTAAATTTAATGATTCATAATTTTTTTTTATACAACTTAGAGTAACTTAGAGTATACTGTTTCGCCCATGATACCCCCCATGCGTTGCCATTACTGAGGACTCAGGTGTTATTCCTCTGTACCCGGTAAATTCACGCCATATCCCATCCTTCAAACCGAAACACAGCTATGCAAACAACTGCTTCACGGTTGAAACACGAATGGGACAGAGATACCCAAGCAAACGACTTTTGTACAAAGTCTCCCTCTGGTTATATAATATAATATCTATATATAATATCTAAATATAATATCTAAATATAATATCTGGTCATAAAATAATAATATCGCAAATCTATCAAACAATTTTTTATGCGACTTAGAAAAGGCAAACAAGCTGACTACCTAATGAAAAGTGGTAATCGTCGCCTATAGCCACGAACAATAGTAAGAACATAATAGTTTACTGTGTTGCCCATGATACTCTTCATGCGTTGCCATTATAGTTATACAAACACAACTGTTTCACAGCAGAAACACATACAGAACAAAGTCACATAAACAAATGACATTTGTACAGTCTCCCTCTGGTCAGAAATAACGTTTTAGAATAGGGCCGACTATAGCTATATCAAATTTTAAACACTAATGTTTTAAATTTGATGCATGATAATTAAAGATTGTGTCTTACAAAAAAGTTGACGTCAATTGGGACAAAAACAGTTATTTTGTTCTAAAAACTAAATTACTTAACCGATTTTGATAAAATTTCTATGGAACCAATCTGATGTACATCCTTTCAGATAAAAAAAAAAAAAACTATATCATCTGAAAAGATGTACGTTAAGGATTAACGGAATTTTGAGGTAATAAACATAAAAATAAAATAAAACCGAATTGAGAGCCTTCTTTTGAAGTCGGTTAAAACAAAGGGAAACCAACGTATCTCGTATATTAAATTAATTTGAATGAACTGGGAATAGAGAAGGGATCCCAAAAGTCATTGAATAGGTATCCCTTAACTCGTAACAAAGATATTCAATTAGTAGTAACGTGTCATTTGCATAGGTGTCACTGGCAATCAAATTAAGTGGGGCTTCTGACAATTTTATGCGCATAAATCAGAGAAAACAGCAATATAGTCTATTAAATAGTTGGTTCAATTCTTAAATATCAGAGTTCAATCCAATATAGTTTAGAATGTACGCACAATTTTGTAAATATTATTTAGTTATGTGAAAGGTCGATGGACCGCTTTTTAGGTCAAAGGGTCCGAATTTGTCGTCAAAATGTATTAAAAATTAAAAGGCAAATTAGTCATCAAAATTATGTCCGTCTTCTTATCGGTCTTTTGTCTAAGTCCTTTTGTTTTGTTCCAAGCTGTCAGTTTTAATTGTCGAATGTCTTAGCGGCCAGCGATAAAACCGGTCAAAGAGGCCGCAACAGTTATGTAATAAATGTTATTGTATGTAGTATTTACGTTAAACACATCAACACTTTTACGTACATATAGTATTTTATATTTATGTAAGTACTAGCTATATCCCACATTTTCATCCGCATGAATCAGTATGTAAAGTTATCCTATGTTTTAATTTAGGATACAACCTATACATATACGAAATTTCATTTAAATCTATTTAGTATTATTTTACGTGACAGAGTAGCACATTCTCACATACTTTTGCATTTATAATTTTTATAATATACATATATTCTCGTGTTACTAATTACGTATACTTATTTTGACTAATGAAGTAAATAGTTTTAAAAAAGATGATATTTCAAAACCATTCATGTATAGAATGGATATGTATTACAAAAACAGGAAACAGTACAACAAAGTATAATTATTAAAAAAAAAAACTAGTGACCGTCTCAGCTTTACACGGATAGATAGAAAATAATATATAGCTTATGTTACTAGTTAATAATGTAACTTATTATAGATGAAAGAATATTTAGAGTTTATTTATTATTATAAATAAAACATATAAAAATCAAATCTTTTCTTCATATTACATTAGTATAGAAAATAATTTAGAATTTCGATTTATAACTGTTGCATTACAAAAACATGACTGCCAAAGTAGGTTACATGTAATTATATATTACATGTAACCTGCTTTTTTTTATCTGTTACATGTATTGTATATTGTAACAGACAAAAAAAAGCAGGAGGTTTTCAATTCGGTTATATCTTTTTTATGTTTGTTACCACAGAACTCCATCATTTAACATTAAACCGACTTAGAAAATAATTTTATTTGAAAGAATATGCTTTCAGATTGGTGCATTAGAAATTTGATCAAAATCAGTTTTATAAACAAAATAACTTATTTTGTAACAATAGTTTGTTTATTTTTAACACTTTATTGTAAAGTCTCAAATTATAGGGTACAGAGTTCTTAGTTAGTTTCTGAGTTCTTCTTTAATTTTTTTATGATATAATATATACTTGTATTATTTTCATTTATTAAATAAAGCAGGTACATGAAGTATTATCGAAAATGATTTAATACTGTCACGAAACTTGAACAAAAACAGCGAGTAAATCATAAATGTGAACGCATTCGTTTGTACCCTGCGAGATAACAAATACGCAGAGGGGGAATTGCAATCGGAATCTAAAAATTACGGCAGTTTAAAAGTAGGCGTCATTTACATAAAACAACTATACAAAAATGATATATGGATAGGAACGCACCATTTGTTTGTCTTGAAAGAAATATATTATTGTTTTTTCACATTGGTAGACAATTGTAGGCAAGCGTATTGTGGGTTGAATGGCAGCGAAAAGCTATAGATCGAGCTTAGTGGTGTGCCTTAGGGAGATCTGGTCCAGTTGTGGAGTGCAGTTGACTGATAATGGAATGACATAATCCTTACTCCTTTCTTATACTAAATAGAAGAGATGTATGTTTAGTGTATGTTCAGTAGTGCTTGAATAACGGCTGATGTAATGATGATTATGTTAGATATATATATATATATATATATATATAATGTCGTATTGTTTGAAGTTAGCAACAGCGAATATTATATCTGTATGACAAAACATATCTGTTTGCTGTAGACATTAATTATATAGAATAATCTGTGATATCCATGGTAATCCCGATGCGTTGTCATTCCTGAAGAGTACCTTCAGTCTCTGTATAAAATAGGCCATCTCTTCCTGTCCCATGGGTGTCATAAGAGGCGATTAAGAATTTAATGGTCGAGGGACAGGCAACAGCGTCTCCCTTAAAACATCACAATCGCCTACCAAGAGTAACAACTACCGACAAAACATTCCAATATGGGGACTATCAACTGCTGATCATGGGCCATCCTATTCTATACTATCCTATCCTATTCTTTTCTAATATAAATTAAATTCGGTCTACTACTCGTGGACTGCGATCAATATGTACTAACTTCCAGATAAGACACTGGATGTTGAATAACAACTATCGTAAACCATTCTGTATTGTAATTATTTAATTAAATTAGGTAATAAGTAAATGTTAAATAATTTATTTTAATAAATATTTAATAAATAATAATATAAATAATTATAACACATCATACGTTATATTATAGTCATAATAATGATTAGGAAAATAATTATCCGTCTTTATTTTTTGATAAAATTTTATTCAAAAGAAAATTTTTTTTTTTTTTTATTTTCCCTTGTTATCTGCAATCGGCTCTTCCATAACAGCCATAATCAGATAGAGTCATGTGTGAAAATTAGCGTTTTGAGAAGCAGTCCACTGACAGCTCTCTCAGAATGATTTTGTAGAGCTCTTCAAATTCTAGTGTCAAGGTTCAATACAAGCCATCGTCTCAGTCTTGTAGATTGTTGTGCTGTTAGTAATTCTCCAGCCAGGTCATTCGTATGATTTATAAGGCGCTGTTTATATTTTTTGCTGTTTATCCTTATCTCTTCTTTAACAGTATTAATTTGCATATAGTTATGTATCTCCTCGTTTCTAACAAACCATGGAGATTTAGTAATGTTTCTTAAAATTATGTTCTGAAATCTCTGTAAAATCTCTATATTGGAATTACTAGCAGAACCCCACAGTTGGATCCCGTAAGTCCATATAGGTTTTATTATGCATTTATACACAAGCATCTTGTTGTTTAATGATAGTGTTGAATTTCTTCCTATTAGCCATGATAGATTTTTGCATTCCAGGTTTGCCTGAGTTCTCTTAGTCTTAATATGTTTTGCCCAAGTGAGTCTTCTATCCAGGTGCATTCCCAGATATTTAACACTTGTTACTTTTGGTAGATTTTGTCCCTTCATTTGCACCGGTGTTGCATCTCCCTTTCTTAATGTGAATGTAATGTGGTGGGATTTCTCTGTACTACATTTTATTCGCCATTTATCCAACCAATAATCAAAACTTGATCTAATTGTGCTTGAATTTTCTGTGATGCCACATGGGGATCTGTGTCACTTGCCAAGCATGCTGTGTCATCAGCGTAAGTTGCTATTGTTATATCGTTTGTCATAGGTAAGTCCGCCGTATATATTGAATATAGTACAGGTCCAAGAACGGACCCTTGCGGGACCGACGCACATAAATTGTAGAATTTTGAATAAGCTTCACCAGATTTAACTTGGAATATTCTATCTGCAAGATAAGACTTCAAAATCATATAAAATGAATTAGGTAGTTGTGTTTTAAGTTTATATAACAACCCCTTGTGCCATACTTTATCAAAAGCTTGTTTTATATCGAGGAATACAGCAGAGCAATATTCTTTTTTTTCAAACGATCCTCTCACTTTTTGTATAACTCTATGCACCTGTTCAATTGTTGAGTGTTTTTCTTTAAATCCAAACTGATGATTAGGTATGATTTTGTTCTCATTTAGAACTGGTCTCAATCTATTAAGTAATATTTTTTCAAAGACTTTTGACATTGTAGGCAAGAGACTTATTGGTCTATATGATGTAACTTCGTTGGGACTTTTTTCAGGTTTCCGAACCATGCACATCTGTGATACTTTCCAGAGCGCAGGATAGTAATGCAATCTAAAGATAGCGTTAAATATCATAGTCAAGAATACCACAGCCTTTCTGGGCAGTTTATTGAGCACTTCTCCTGTTATCAAGTCGTAGCCTGGTGCCTTTTTATTTTTTAGATAGCGTATATATCCCGCTGTTTCCCTAGGTGTGATAAGTTTCAACATAGGAGAAAGTTGTTGATCACTATTCAAGACCCTATCTATTTCTTCCTCAAATCCTATCATATCTGACTGGTTTGCAGTGAAGACTTCCTTTAAGTGTTCAGCATATAATTGAACCTTTTCTTCGTCTGTTTGGGCCCACGTATTAGATTTTGTTTTAAGTGGTGGTATGTGTTGAATTGGTCTTTTTAAATTTTTTGTTACTTTCCACAATGAATAATCATCCTTTTTTGTGGAAGATAAACTTTTAAGCTTGTTATCCAGTGTATTGTTCACATGCAAATCAATCATCAACGTAAGTTCTTTCGCTGATCTATTATAGGCTTTTTTATCAAACATATTCCTACTTTGGTGCCACTTTCTACGTAGTCTTCTTTTTTCACAAATTTTTCCAGTATCTCTACTGTTATGTAAGGTGCCCGATCTTTTTCCTCCAGGTCTGGGGATGAACGCCATGCTGCTTCTTGTATTATATTGGTTATATAAAATGTCGCATCATCTAGATCTTCTTCAGTTTTTAGATTAATCTTCAGATCAATTCTATTCTCCAGATAATCAGCAAATGCGTCCCAATCTGTTCTTTCATTATACAGGGTTATGGGTCTTTTTCTCTTTAATATGACAGTACTGATTGTAGCTATTACTGGAGTATGATCAGAGGAGCCATCAAGGCATGATTCCACAACGGTATATAGATTGGACAATCCTTTCACTATATAAAAATCAAGCAAATCAGGTGTCTTATTGATATCAGTTGGCCAGTAAGTTGGTTCACCGGCTGACATTGGATGTAGTTTCAATCTATCAACACAAGTTTTTAGGTGTCTTCCTCTTGTTGTACTCAGTCTAGACCCCCAGAATGTATGCTTTGAGTTCCAATCACCTCCACACACAAATCTAGGACCCAATGTCTTGAAATAGGTAGCAAATATTTTATCGCTGATTTTTTCATTTGGTGGACAATATATGGCACTAATGTTTAATGTTCCTTTACAATCCTTTACAATTACAGTAACTGTTGTAGCTTGCAGGTATTTTAAAAAAAAGAATTTTAAAGAAAAGAAAAATGAGCAAATATATAATATAATTCATCCAGATTGCCAGCTCTCAATTAGGGCTGTGTACACGTACGATATGAGAGAGAAGGATAGTGGCTACTTTTTATTCTGGTCAGTATCCGAGTCACGCGGACGAGGCCACTGGTAAAAGCTTTTTCCTTGCTTGTTCAATCGGTGTCTGAGTCTTTATATACATACAGATATGTCAACAATTATTATATATAGATACAAATTACAACAAAATAGCGTGTCTAATATACTGCGTGATGATATAGTGATGTTTTCTGAATTCACGATATGATCATAATATATATGTGTAGATATGTATATATTATAATAATATCGTGTCTTTGTAATGAATACACTCACAGATTGTTATCACACGTATATAAAAACTACTATTTAAGGAAAAAATATATTTTTGTTTGTTTTTAAAAGCAAATTGGTCCTCCAGAAGATGCTTCAATACATTTTATTATTTAAGTTTGTGTATTTTGTGGCATCTGTGAGTATAACTGAGGGTTGAACGCAATTATGACTGTTTCATCCGTCATACTCGTGAACGGGTGCTATTTATACGAATATCACATTGTTGGTACAGTTTACCATCGATCGATATTTTTATATATCTATATTAAATTTTAATTTAGTGTTCTATGTTGGCAATTTGAATTCTTTTGTTAAAAAAAAATAACAAAGTTCCGAGCTCATATATTTCCATTAACATTGGATTACAAAATTAAAAAAGACATGTCATAATAACTAGTAATCTACTAAGTACTAAATATTATAAAAAAACCTATCTTGTGGACAATCTATATCACAAAAATATATGGTCGCGTATAATGTGGTTTTAGAGGTGTTTCTAATTGTGGAGACTGAGGTTTTATTATGTTGTGGTTTATATATAGACCTTAACAAATGATTATTGAAAAAAATAGGCAAAGAGTCAGTGTCGACAATATACTTGCAATTATTCTTGCTATTATTCCAAGTCCATAGGCTACAGGCTAATTACCACTTACCATCAGGGTCGTTTGATTTTTTCTCACTTCAGTGGTATAAAAAGATTCAATAAATTAAAAATATGAAAAAAAAGTTTTATTTTTCAAGTTTTTATTTAAATTACAATGTTTGTTATTTAATTTATCTAGTTTATACCTTAAACCAGCTCCTTTATATTCCAGTATATGTTGTATATTAAATTTTTAGTACAGTACTCAGTAAATCTTAATGTTTTCAAAATGGCCGTGGTCACAAAATGGCGGATGGTGTATATGTACTTTAAACCGCCTTCAAAAAGTAGAAGATTTTCATTTTGGTTGTATTTTTTATTTAAATATTTGTACCAATCAACACCGATCACTGATTTCAAAAATTCTTTTTATATCTGAAAAGATAAATTTCAAATTGATCTCATAGAACATTATCAAATCTGTTCAGGGGTTTACTTTTTAAAACAAAATAACTAGTTTGATCAAGATGAAATCGGTAGTTTTTTTATGGAACAAAATTTTAAATTATGTCCAATTTGTTAATGTGGATATTAAATAACAGACCTTGAAATAAATTGGTAACAATAAAATAAATGTGATCATTTAAGATGGTGCAATCACAAGAAAGTGTTCTTAAACAGATTTTTTATTTGTTTAGAGTGATGTTCGCTTAAAAATAGCTGATGATGTGGTCTCATGCGATGATTTTGACAATGACGAACTAGAAGTAGATCTAAAACTGGCACAATCAAAGGGATGCGGACCCAAACTTATGGGATTGAGTGGAGTGATGCGTGTAATGGAGGAACTAGAAGATGAACATACAGTAAGTAATAATAATAATAATAATTAAAAATTTTAAAAATTTAATAAAGATTATTTTCCTTGCAAAACACTTGGGAGGCCCAGAAATATGACAATTCTAATAAATAAAAAAAATATCTCTATTTATCTAATTTTCGTTTATGAAGTATCGAATTTTACCAAAAGGTGACTTTGTACAAAAGTCGTTTGCTTAAGCACTTCCGTCCTATTAGTGTTTTTATCATTAAGCAGTTGTGTTTGTATGGCTGTGTTTCGGTTTGAAGGGTGGGATATGGCAGTGAATTTATAGGGTACAGAGGAGTAACACCTGAGTCCTCAGGAATGGTAACGCATGGGGGGTATCATGGGCGAAACAGTATATTCTGTTAAGTCGATGGTGTACTGCTCATGTTTATAGACGACGGTTACCACTTTCCATCAGGTGGGCCGTCAGCTTATTTGCCATTTCAAGTTGCATAAAAATAATCAAAATGGTATATTTTTCGATTTTTTAAATTTTATTATACTACATTACTAGTTTTATTATTCACTGAAAATATATTTATTATCTGTAAAAAAATTAAAACTGCATTGCTTTATCTGCTGCTGAATGCGAACTGTTTTTAATATTTTACTTTAATTAATAATGTAAATTCGAAAATTTTTAAAGACTTTTAGACATTTGCATGTTTGTTACACTATCACGTAAAATTTTTTACTTAAGTACCTAGTACATATTCTCACTTATATGATTTTTATAAACTGATTTACATGGGCGAAGCCGCGGTAAACAACATAAATTATCGTACTAGCTTTTGGCTTAAGCTTCGCAAGCGTAATTTTCGGAAGTAGGAAAACCAATTAAATAGACCAGTTCTGAGATAAAACATATATACCAGATGATAGAACAAATACGAATATAAATAGAAATAAGTAAATAAGTTGAGCGTCACAAGTGACTAACAAAAAAATCACTTTTTCACATATATAATATTAGTAAAAATTATATATATATTTTTACAGGTAGAATTAAGCGTATATAAAGATACAGAAGTTGGTAAAGAGATGTTGTTTACAACAAAGACGAATTTATGTGCTAGTATAAAAGACGACAATGCCCCATGGTTTCCCGTAGTAGAAAAAATGGCTATTACATCTTGTCCCATAGAAATAGTAAGTTTTTTTTTATTTTTAAAAGAAATTTCATATGAGTCCGAGTCAATTGATTTAAATATTAAGATTGTATTGTACAATTTGTTTTTATTTAAAGACTACTGAAAAGTTTTTGGTAAAATTTCTAGAGGATCATTTTGTAAGTATATCTTTGTTAAAGTATTTTTACAACCGACGTAGTTATGTATAAACACATAAAAAATATACAACCGAATTGAGAACGGAGAAGGTTCTTTTAATTGGTTGAAAATGGATAACAGTTTCAAATTGTAAGTCAATGTAAAGGTATCACTTTCTTTTTTATTCCAATATTTTGAATAAATTAGAAACACTAATGTTACGTTTATTTTAAATATATTTTGGAATGATTAAAATTACTGTTATTTTAACTAATATGGCTGTTATCGTACACTACCCTGCAATTGTAATTTAATAAAAAAAAATATATGGTTCCAATAAATATATTATTAAACAATAAAATGAGTTGTAATCCTTATGTTCTTTGAACAAAAACTATAATTATTTCTTTTTGTAGAAAGATTATCCAATGCAAAATATTCTGCTGGACCTTAACGATTGCGTAAATGATATGCTGACAGAAGAGAACTGTGGAGTGTATGCTATAGAGATAGCGGTCACCGCGAAGGGGCAAAAAATCTCGTGTCACATGTTGGCGGTAGAAATGTACGAGTACGAAGGCGAGGATGATTCCGAAGAAGACAGCGGGGATGACTGTGAAGAGTGAAATCAATAAATAGTTTACATTACATAAAATATTTCATTGAATCATCCTCTCCAATAATAGTTCTCTGGTCATCATTACTCCGACTTACATCATTCGGTTTCTCAACATTCGAATTAACAGAGATACTTAATAATAATTTTATTACGGATAACTAACTCTTTTTCGTTAGTTTCTTCCTTACCTCTTGTTATCTTAACAGCTTAACTAATTGCCATAAACATGCTATATAGGATGGAGAAGAGCATACGTTATTATTTTTCCTATTAGGAGAAGGGATTGTTAGTAATGAGGACAAGCAACCTCATATAGTAATATACTCTGTCAGGTCGACTTTCATGCGGAAATCATTGTGGTTAGTTATTTTGGAATTTGTCTCTATGAGTTAACTGATGTGCTTCTATCTTCACCTATCATCCCACATTTATAACCTATCCCATCCCACCCTTCAAACCGAAACACAGCCATGCAAACACAATTGCTTCACGGTTGAAACACGAATGGGACAGAGGTACCCAAGCAATCGACTTTTGTACAAAGTCTCCCTCTGGTAAATGCTAGTATTAATCATCATCATATCAGCCGTTAACTGTCCTCTGTTGAACATAGCCTTCCCCCTTGGACGACTGAAACTAAAAGACCCCCCGGTCTTTGGTATTATATTATTATTATTACATCAGCCGATAGCTATTCACTGCTTTCTTTTTTCCTTCTACAAGTGTTTTGCCAGTAGTAGGGGTATCATGGGCGGAACAGTATACTCTGTTATGTCCATAGTACTGCTCGTGTCTATAGGCGACGGTTATCACTTTTCATCAGGTGGGCCGTCAGCTTGTTTGCTATTATAAGTTGTGTAAAAAAAAAAGTTGCTTCGCTTGGCAGGCGGATTGGCAACCGCAGTTAGTCTTTGATGATGTTTTAAGAGGGACGCTGCTGATCATCCCTCGACCTTTAGTCGCCTCTTACAATACGCACGGGAAAGGAAGGAATGGCCCATTCTATGCCGTGACCATACGGCTACTAGTAATAATACAAATTGTTAATTTTTTTATGCAATTTTAAAATAGCAAATTAATTGACACCCAACCCAATAGAAAGTTATAACTTCTGTCTACAAATATGAACAAAATATAGACGTTATAGAATATGCAATTTTAGTATTGCCCAATATTTATACTGGTCACTCCCTAAAGATTAATATATATGTGTTAGATAGACTGTATTGATAAATAAATTCTAATAACTAAATGTAACTCGAGATTGCTCAGAATGAAAAGTAGACTAGGAGTATCTTCTTTGTCTCAAATTTAATATATATATATATAACAAATTTCAAGGCAATTTGTTAAGTCATTAAGGTAATAAACAAATTATCACATTTTTAATATTATAAATAACAAAAATCTAATTACAATACAGTATAACTCACTATAGTTATTATTCAAGGATCTACAAATTTAAAAAATGTAGTACATTTTTAATCAATATGGCTTATCTCTCGCTATGTAAACAGTTGTAGGTAATTAGAAATATAAATAAACGAGGGTGGTGTGGATCGTACAAATTTATAATTACAAGGGAGGCTGGAACTTCAAGCGTTATTAACTTTTTTCTGCATTAAGACCGCGCCTCGGATGCCGGCCGTCTGTTGGTCAGACCTGGAAATTGTTGTGCGCTCATTAATTATATAAACTTGTGCGGATATTTGAATAAAACGATTTACTTATCATTGTAATTTAGTTATTAATAAATTAATTATAATTTGATTACTGTTATATTGTTACTTATATGATAAACTAGCGACTCGCTTTGGCTTAGGGCCATTTTTTTTTTAAATATTATACAATTTATGTCACTCATTGATAATATAGTTTTCTATAGGTGAAATAATTATTAATATCCGTTTAGTATTTTTGAGTTTATAATAAAAATATTTTTTCCTCTTAATTTTTTTTTGTTTAAATATGAAACTTTTTTGTTTTGATATTTGTATATTTTTACTAATACATAAAGTATCCTATAATTATCTTAGGATATATCTTATCCGTGTATTAAATTTCATTCGATATTTTTGCGTGAAAGAATAATAAAAGTCCATTAATATAGATATATGTATATTATTGTAACCGCAAAGGTTTGTGAGTTTGAAACATTCGCATTTACAATGATAGTAAGATATGTGATATTTTAAGTTTCTATACTTAAATCTTATGTTACTATGGGATTTAATAATAACAAAATGCGGCGAGATAGCCAGTGCTATAGATAATATAATATTATACGAATAGTAGGATTCACGTGGCGAAGTTGCACTAAATAGTTAGTTTAGTAAGACGTCGGTGTAATGTTGTAATGTACGTACACGCAAGAAAATACCGTCAACTTAAAGACCTTCTCTTTTTTGAAGTTAGTTAAAATATAAAGTTTCACAAAGAGTATTTCCCCTAAGTTGCAATGGTCAGAGTACAATCTGTACAGACCTACACACATCCAAGTGTTGTCAAGTAGCACGACGGGACACTTAAGTGTCGTTTCCATCCAAGGAACAACTTTACAAAGTGCCGCCTGATTTTCCTTTCCCAACTACTTCGAGTGACGTGTCCACCAACACGCTTTCTCAATTTGTTGCAATGTTCGCAATGTTTAATTTGAGAAAAAGAAAAATTAGGGACTTTAGTAGTAAAGTACTGATAAATTACTGGCACTTGTAAAATTTCGAAGACTTGACAAATCACTTATAAAATAGATATTATACGTAGATAGGAGCGTCCATCCATCTATAATATTGATAATGACTTCAAAAAATTATGAGGTTTTCAATTTGTTATAATTTCGTCAATTATAAATCGATTTAGAAAATTCTCTTTTTATCTGAAATGACGTATTTTCAGATTAGTTCCATAGACATTTTATCATAATCTGTTTAATAGTTTAGTTTTTAAATTGAAGTAACTAGACTTTTTTTTAATCAAAATAATTTATTTTGTCGTAATTGAAGTAAATGTTTTATGGAACATAGTCATAAATGATATTGTTTCAATTACAACATGTACTTTATTGTCGCTTAATTTTTAACCGACTTGGAAAAGGGGAATTTTAATATAAGTACATTAAATGTATAAATGAAATAAGTATATATATTAATATTATCTCTTCGAAATATTTTTTCAGTGTCTTTAAAAATACTAAAATTAAATATATCTAGTATTATATAATATTATAGGTACATCAACACAGACACCATGAAGTTTGATAAAACAAAGGCTCCGCAAAGTAAGCAAGTCTGAAATAATTTCCGCGGTTCCAGCCAACCCTTCTTCGTGAATTAAAAGACTTCTTTTATATTGCGGAGTGTCGCCAGAGGCCATGTTTTGGATTACAATAACTTTCTATGAAATTGTCGTGTTAATATTGCAGTTATATCTTTAAATTAATGCTGCGTAGAAAGAGAGTTAATATAAGAGTACCTTAATGATAGACAGTGTAAATGACACTATTTTCTATCTAATATATAAAATTCTCGTGTCGCGGTGTTTGTTAATAAAACTCCTCCGAAACGGCTTTACCGATTTTTATGAAATTTTGTGTGCATATCGGGTAGGTCTGAGAATCGGTCAACATCTATTTTTCATACCCCTCAATGATAAGGATTACCTACCCCTAAATTTTTTTTTTTTAATTTTTTGACAAAATTTTTATATTTATTTTATCATTATTTAGCATTTAAATATACATACACATCCAAATTTTCAAGCTTTAACAATCAACCTCTGTTTTTTAATCGTGATTTTATATGTCGCAATAGGGTTGCAAGATAGCAATCGAATATAATAATTGTAGTAGGATAAATTTTCATGTACCTATAGTGCTCGAAATAATGTATATGGTAAAACAACGTTTGCCGAGTCAGCTAGTATATATATAAAAATCTCGTGTCACAATGTTTATGGTCGCACTCCTCCGAAACAGCTCGACCGACTTTTATATTTTTTTTATTCATGTCCTCTTTGTATATTTACTGAATACTGCTATGACTGTAGTATAGTTATTTCAATTTTAAGTGTTTTAAGCAAATCATGCTCACTGAAATGTTACACTGTTGTATGTATAATATCATTCATATAAGAATTTCATAAGCCTTTTACATGTGTTTCCGATTTCATCGCGTGACCAGTAGGCCTACCATGAAATGATTTCCGAAATTTCGCGGACGAACGAAACAGAAATTTGATGTTAAAATTACATAATACATGCCGTTTAAAATTATTAAAAATGTTAAAATATCGTTTCTTTGGACAATTAGGATAGGATCTATTATGAACGAAATGTTAAGCTCCATTTACTGGCTCGATTTCGGTACGAACAAAAACACGAAATTGAGCCCGAAAATTCGGAATTTCATTTTATGGTAGACCACCAGGATACAAAGCACGTGATACTATTCTATCCTATAATATATATGCAAATTTTTAATAACGATTGATTCAATCCTTATTAGACCAAAATGTATCAAACAAATAAACAAAACATACTTGTTCATATTATAAATTAATTATTAATATTATAAATTTAATAGCAACTGTAAAATATTACTGAAAATTATTAATCAAATAAATTAACATTAAAGGAATGTCCTGAAAGTAGGTCAACATTAAAGGTGACAGTCGACAACAAATATAAAAGAAAAAAAAGTGAAGAGGACAGAAAAAGCCGCACGCATCAAAAATCGCGATAACTAGCGTAAGGGAAGTGTGAAGGGCCCTTATGCTACCTCAATAATACGCGCGGAGTTCGCAATAAAATTGTCAAGAAGAGATCTGCTAACGACGCACTTTGATATCCGTTTGAGAGTTCCCGGACGGTGTAAATACTCCTTTATTAGATGTGGGTACTTTAGAAAGTATTTTGTCGTGTATACCCACTTTCAATGGACTCCATGGCGTGAATAATAGGAACGATATTACATTTTTTTTTTCAAATTGTAAATATATATATATATATATATATTGTTATAAATATCGTAAGGGGAATA